GGCGCGCTTTGCCTCCTCGTGGCCCGCCAGGCTCGTGTGAGCATGCCAGGCCCTGAAGAGCTTCTCCGAGTTCTGGGTGCCCTGGCCATGCCCCAGCTTCTAGCTGCCATTGCTGCGAGCTGGGGATTCCACACTCTCTGGGACTCACTACAATTTGGGTTGTTGCCCTGTATCTGTTGTGTTTTCTCCCCTCTCAAATATTTATTTAAAAGATACTTATACTTTTAAAAAGTCAATTTATTTTATGACTTAGAAATTTAAGCTTGTGATAATTGATAATATGCCATTTTGCTGTATTGCATGAGAAAAATATGAAGAATCCCAGAGGTAATTATAATATAAAAATGGGAAATGTGTCTCATTTCATATCTGATATTAAATCACATCATTTAAGTTTCATTTGCATGAGAGCTTGTGCTAGTGCCTGATTATGTTCCTGTGTGTGCACTTGCTTAGTAAAGTGTACTTAGTTGTCTGGCCTTAACTCATTCACAACGGGGCTGTGGTACATATGTGCTGCTGCCAGGTGACCTGTAAAGCCAGTGCTACAAGCATACCTTTCCCTTCGGATGGCTTTTTATTTTATTAGTAAAAAGACCCACAAAAGTGATTAAATCCATTTGTAACACCACAGTTTCAAGCACCCCAAGGGACAGTTGTGTGTGTACCTCCTGGTGGCTCAAGTTGAGGGGACTGTGTGAATGTCTTCAAGTCTTCCAACCTACTCCACCTACCAGCCCCACGCAAATCAAGAGTTTCCTGAAGCAAGTAATAAGGAAGATATCTTTGAATATAAAAAAAAAATTCCTGAAGATGTCACCTCTTCACAAGGCGGAAAAAAAGGCCACACTGAGACTTACCATGGCTTTAACGGCCATGCTGTGCCAGCAGCTGATCTGGCACCAAGCACAGCTGTTGACGTGGCAGGAGGAGCTGTGACGGGCAGGGCGAGCTTGGCTGCGGGCTCTGCGTGTGACCTGTGCCTCTGCCTGTTAGGCGCAGTCCCGTCCTTCTGGAACCTCACGCTCGGTCGCACATCGTGCTCCTCACTCTCGCCTCACACAGGTCTCATGGTTCCTGGTACCGTGAAGTGCCTGCAGATGTTGTGGAGACCAAGATCCTATATTTTTTCAGTTTAGAGGCTGTTCATTAGAGTCTATGCAGGTTCAGCTGTCCACTACCAGCTCTGCTTAGATCGGTGAGCCGAGGACATGTTTGGATGAGTACTCAAGAGTACTTTGTAGAGACAGAACATGTCCTCGGTGGGCTGAAGTCCATCCAGCTTTTACTGCACTCGAGGGCAGGGGGGTGGTCGTCTCACTGTCATGCCAGCTAGAATCACCGTAACCTCAGTCCTCAGCCAGACCTGTTCCCAGTTGACCAGAATAAGCACATTCGGGGTGGGGGTCAGCCGAGGACTTCGGTTCATGTAAGCTTGCCTACTGCAGGTACCAGAAAGGTTACTGAGCCTGACCCCGGTAATGGGATTGTCCCTTCCCTGAGAGCAGATCTCTGCTCGAGAACACACCATGACTCTGCCGCCTGGAGGTCAGCTGTGGATGGATTGTGGGCAGAAAATACTCTATATAAATGTCCCTGTAGATGACACACGTTCACCACCCCCTGAGCTTGTTCCTAAGTGCATGAACACTTGTTTGCAAATCTAGAAAGGTCCCAGATCTGCCTTCACCCAACCAGGTGAGCGTCACTGAAAAAGGAAAAATCCCAGCCTACCTTACTTTAGCTCTTCTGAGGCTTTTACCTTTAACAGTGGATTCTAGGCTACTTGATCTTATGCATCTTGCATTTCATTTACTTATTTATTTTATTTTTGAGACAGGGTCTCACTCTGCAGTTCACCTGGGCTTGAACTCACTTTGTAGCCCAGGCTGGTCTCAAACTCCCAACGATCCTCCTGCCTTAGCTTCCCGGGTGCTGGGATTGCCGGGGTATGTCATCACGCTTGGCCATACATGGCGCATTTTCTTGATCTTTGTCTTGACTGTTACTTGTGCTTCTGAAGTAAGCTCTTTCAGACTAATGAGATATCGGCTATGTCAAGCCACTTACAAGCCTCCCCACGCCAACACTGCTGTAGGACATCTGCGGTATGCCTCCCTTCCTGCAGGTAGTCCTCATTTGACCAGCTAAATCTTGAGGAGATTGAACCTTTGTCTCTGTTCCTGCTCAAGTGCAGATTCTCTGAGAATGTAGATTAGAAAAACCAGTCACTAAAGGGCAAGAGAGCTGAATTCAAAAGACTATTACAAGAGGGGTTTGCAGACGCTGATTCTGTTTCCATGAGAACCAGCTGTTCTGGTTGTTTCTTTCTGCAAACCTTTAAAAGCACTTAGGGGTTTTCTGTGCTACTGTGTGTTTTTTGGGGGAGAAACCTTATAGTGAAGACAGGAAGAAACTATAGAGCAAAAGTAAGAAAGACAAAACTCTCAATATGGGTTTCCTGTGTGAAAGTTTCTCCCAGTGAGCCTGCTGGATGTGTTACACATGCTATAGAATATTCATCTTGTCTTTCTGTGATATTTCTCTTTGTGTTTGGCATTACCAAGCCTTAGAGGTTATCATGAATGCCAGTTGTGTGAAATGAGCACAACTGACAGGATTTAAAGGCTCAGCCTAACCTTTTTAATCCATCTATTCCCTCTTCTCCGCCTTAGGCCATGCCTGTTCTGCAAGACGGTACGACATCCTTGCTCCTCTGGTGGGAGCTGCATTCATTTCCTGCTTGTCACTCAAAGCCTCCCTCCTTGAGGAGCTAGAGGGATTCCGGCTTCTCCTTCTGACTAGATGGAAAAAGTGCTATAAAGAATTTTCCAAATAAGATGTGTGTTAGTGTTTTTGCCAACTGTGCTTAACTTCTTCATTTCTTTAGCTCAATTTATAATTCTCTTTTCCTTCCCTGTTCATATTAGATCAATAAAATTCATTCTGAATTGAGCATTCATGCAGAGATCGATTAATTATCAGAACTTTTAATTAAAGCCACCAATACAGAATGATAGCTGTGTGTCAGGCATTGTTCTAAGTGTTGAGGATTTGAAATACTGTATCACTGCTGTCGTGGAGCTTTGATCCTAAAGAGTAGAGAAGCAGAAAATAAATACACGTGTACCATGCCCAGAGGGGCTAAGTACTATGACACAAAGTCAGGATAGAAAGAACAGAAGGTGTTGGGGAGTGTGATTATCATGGTATAGTCAGTAAAGCTCTCAGGTAAGGTGACAGCTGCACAGAATTCTGAAGGACGTGAGGGAAGGAATCATGCTGACAGTTTGAGGAACTGTGATCAGGTAGGCAAGTCCAATTTGGTTCATAGTACTTTTAAAATGTAGTGCAAGGGGGCAAAGGAGAAAGTAGTGCCAGTAATTAGGAGGCCTCTGTAGTGCATCTGTGGAAATGGATTGGCTTGGACTAGAGTGGTGGTAATAGAAGTTCTGAGCACCGATTGGACCCTGGAGCTCTTTTGAACAGGAGTGATGTGATGATGCATGTGGAGGATGAGAGTCAAGAATGACTTGGAGGGTCTGGCCTAAATAATTAGTAGCTGTGTTCGCTTAAGTGGCAGCGGTGGGCTAGGGTCAGGGTTGTGGAAAGGATTGGGGGTTCAGTTTGAGCTGCCTGCTGGACATCCTAGCAGCTGTGCTGACAAGACAGTTGGCTGTAGAGAGTCAATAGGTGAGAGTGGGACAAGAGAATCAAGGGTCATGGCTATATAGACGGGGTTAAAGCCATGAGATCGTACGAAACTATCCTGGAGTGAGTGAAGACAGGGCAAGAGATCTGAGAGCTGAGCTCTGGTCATCTCCAAAGCAGATGGAGACAAATGGCTTGGGAATAGAAGAAGGCCAGGAAGGAATGATGTCCCCCAAGCAAGAGAAGTGATCAATCTAAAGAGGAACAGTCTCCTTTGCTAACTACTTCTGGCTAGAGTAAAATGACACTACTACATGACCATTGGATTTGAACACAGGAACTAATGAGGTCAGCCTTAATGAGGTCATTTTTAGTGGAACAGGGGAAGGAAAACATAACAAGAATGGGGTCAAGCAGAGCTAAGAAAATGGCTGTTGTTCACTAGATGTGCAGCGGTGACTTCCCAGAAGGGTTTTGTAATGAAAGAAGAGGGAGGAATGTGGAGGCCCAGAGCTGAGGTGGCGAAGCTGTTAGAGCTTTCAGGGAGCCGAGTGGCATGCCGCAGCGCAGGTGCCGTGCTTCATCACCCCTGGCCTAGAGGAAGCTGTGGAGTGAAAGGAGGGCATTTCTGTTTCTCCAGCTGAGAGCGGCAGTGACACACAGCACGTGTGTGCTGATGGGAACTGTCAGCCAACAGAAAGAAAATATATAAAGATGCAGGAATGAGATTGTAGGCTGAGGGCTTGAAATCAATGCACATGTGGAGCATTGGGGACACGAGGTGCTGCTAAGATACAGGTTGGGTGGAGGGTGTAGTGAGAATGGGGAGGGTGACAGAAGAGGTAGGGCTGGAGGAAGGGGCTAAGTGATGTCACAGAGCGGAAGCATGTGTCCTATGGCTCAAAGAAGTACAATTCTGTTCCCTAAGATATCTGTTAACTATCTTGTTTCTATAACCTACTAAAGAACAAAATTCTGAAATAGTCTTTGAAAAACTAAAACTTAGTTTTTTGTGTGTTTTGCAAGACACATGGACTGAGTTTTCATAGGAGTTTGTTGTTCCTTAAGAATATTACAATTCTGCTGCAAAAATTGAGTGCCTAAGAGCAGAGATTCAAACACAGGAAATGAGCGTTGGTCTGTGCAGTAAGGAGAGAACTCAGCTGTTAGGGTGAAGGCTACAACCTACTAACCAGAAAAGAACGACTGACTTCTGGAGTAAGAACAGCATCGATTCAGCACATATGCCTCTGGCATTTTAAGCAGAATATGGTGTACTTATGCATGAAGCAGTACTGTATTACTTGTTTTATGGAGCTGATGGTTTTCTTTTTGTAAACATAAAACAGATTTTGTTGGAGCCAGGTGTGATCCAGGATGTGTTAGCAGCTGGCAGCCACCTACAGCTGTTGGAGCTTCTCAGTTTATGTTCCCACTATCTCATCCAGGTATGTGAGCTTGCATTCTGCTATGACCTTCTCGTCCCTTCCCCTGCGGTCCCAAATGTCCCCACCAAATGGAACCCAGTAACATGTAAAGTGACAGAGAGAGAGAGAGAGAGAGAGAGAGAGAGAGAGAGAGAGAGAGAGAGAGAGAGAGAG